TAATACATTTAAATCTTGATTTAAAAGCGTAATCTTTTTAAAATTTTCAAAATGAAGAGACAAAATCTGTTTAAATTTAAAAATATATATGTATCTTTTATTCTATAATTTTAAATTTGTGCCACCAAAGTTGCAAGATCTATTTTATTTATGTTATCTTGTTGTCATATATAGTAGGTACTAATGCATTTTAATCTACTCAAATATATTTTAACAGCAGCATATTATTTTAAGTAATTTATTTTTTAATTATAGTATATGGACCTATATACGTATGTATACGTATAAAATCTGAGGCTCGTCTTTTCATTTTAAAATAATAATCTTAAAACAATAGCAATATTATGCTAAAATTATTTTTGAGCATAGGCATAAGTTACTTCTTTTCTTTTCTAAGTTGTATTCATTTATTTTTATAGTCAAAATTTGAATAAGGTTACCTAATCTATTTTTTTTCAGTTTTTAATAAAAATAAAGTTCAATTATTGCTTAAAAAATATTTTAAACTGAAAAATTAAGTAAAAAATTCAGAAATAGAACCTTTTAGATCAATTTGACAAATGGCATTTAAATATTTAAATTTTGAGATAAGAAATTTAATGAAAGTCTAATAAAATTGAAATATTTGAGCAAAAGCCATTATTAATCTACGATTTGAAAGCACAAAATTGCAAATGAGAATAAAGTGTGATATGCCCATAGGTACAATTCAGAACTCTTAACTCTACAAACAGTTAATTTTCTTCTTCCAAAATAATGTACTATATTATGACTTGAAGACCTTCAATATTTAAGTTAATATTTAATTGAAATTATTTTTATTTTAGATGGCAACCTCGATAAATCATAAAGCAAATTTACTAGCTTTTTTTTCTAATACTTTTTTTTATTTTCTACTTGTGCTATAATATATACACTTTGTTTTAAGCATACCTAGTTCCTACTCTTGTATACATTTTGTTTTGTACACAAAATTTTTAAAAGTTTAGTATTCAACGATGCTATTAATTTTGACAGATTTATTTTTATTACTAAATATTTCCAAGAATTAAGACTTTAAAGAAACAACGAAGAAGAAACAAAAAAAAAAATCACAATATTAACACAAATTCGGCAGAAGATATGAAGAAAACCACTAATAAAAATAAAAAAATAAAGAAATATTAAAAAAAAACTTAAAATAGTTGTTTACTTGTGGTTTTGCTCAGTTATAGCATAGTTCCGGTGTAGTTTTAAGATGAGTTTATGGTCTAAAAACAAAGATAGAAAAGAAAATTTCAAGTCCTATCATATTTTATAGAAATTAGTAGTTATAATTTATTATATACACAATTTCTAACCACTACTTAACACTATTTTTTACTAAATTAGAATGCACACACATCATTCGTTCACTTAAAATTTATTAATAATGAATATAACTTATCAGTTTATCACACTTATAACATCACATTAGCATAAAATAGAAAATATTAAGAATTATTAGAAATTTGTTAAAGAAACACACACAACTCAATATACCAACCTAATTATGTATGAATAGGATTTCTTTAGGATTGAAAAATAAATATGAATGTACGTATCTATGTAAAATATGTAGAAGAGTCTCTTTGTTTACCTAGGTAGAGAATATGACATATGTAAATAATATCATAAATTTTGAGCCCATAATTTTATATATTTTGAAAATAATCGTGAAGTTTATTAATTTTTACATGTTGAACCTATAGGAGTTTGAATGTAGGTCACTTTATAATACATAGGTCAGTCTTGGATAATCGTTTGAAATTTAAGCTTTTCACTTAAAAAAAATTTTGAAAACCCGAAATTTATTAACCACATAGCTGATAATCAATTGCTCTTCCAAAATTTCTAATATAATGTGACAATATTGTAAATAATTTACTCAAAATGTTAAATTGATATATAACTCATTTTCTTTTTCAATGTTCAGTGGGATCCAAAACAATTAAGATTAAAAATGATTTTACCGAATCCAATGAAATTCTATCTGGAACAGTCAATTATCAGAGTTTAGATGCTAGGATTCAATTTCTTATAGATGTATAATTTCTTTTAATAGTTAAATCTTATCAATTTCAAGTAACCATATTATTTAGACTCAACTAAACTGAATTTTGTACAGCTAATTGTAGCACAACTATCAACGTTTACACAATATATTGCAAAACATCACCTAAAAGTAAGACAAAAAGTTAGTTAAAACTTCACAATATCAAAATTTATATAGGTAGTTTAATCAAAACGAATAGCTTCAATTCACACAAATAATAAGAATTCGATGGAATTTTAAATGCTGATAGGCTAACTTAGTTTTTATCTTGGACAAATTTACGAGATGAAAGTTTAAAATATAAAGAAAAAAAGAACTGAAAATCAAAATTTATTATTAGCGCTGTCATAAAATCAAGGTGGAATGACTTCTTAATCTTTTCCGACAATTTTGGTTTTTTTTTACTTATTTTTATTATTTTTGTAACTCTGTTTTATGGCTGTATTATTTTTTTTTTTGGATATCGTATGAGCAAAGCGTATACCTACATTAAGTTTGCACAAATACGAGCGAATTACAAACATACATATATCACTAGATGTTTAAAACAAGTTAATTTATTTGTTAATTATTTTTAGAAGATTGAATATGAAAGCTAGAATCTTGCTAAAAGATAAGCACAGACTTTTTTTAGAATTGATGAATTTGTAATCCAAAATAGTTTTAATAGTTATTTAACAAAAGCTAATATCAATATATTTTTAATTTTATCATTTTTGTGAGTGGATATCAATTAATTTGACTCTTAGGGTGGAAAGTTAAATGTCATTTAAAGTGCTAAAAGTAATTTTTAAAAAGGTAGGTATAGGTATATTCCAACGCATAAATATATGCATGTACCTATGTAAATACAACATTGCAGTCTTTTTTGAGCAAGTACTACAAATCACTTCTAATACTTTTGGTTTTGTGTTACTTCCTTTCGCATTTTCTATTTCTCCCTATTTAGACTTATGCTTCATATGCTTCATTTTTACTGAAAACGGATTCATTTAACCATTCCACAACGCTGTTGAATACTGACTATGTAGGCAATAGCTAACTTTTGTCTGAGAAAAGTTAAATTTTTACTGTATTATTCAACTTTAAGTTATAATTTTTACTGTACATGTACATGCTACGCTACCACTAAATTATTTGCCCAATTTGATTTTGTTGGGCAAAATAACATGTACCGTAACAAAAGTTACGGTACATAGGAATGACAATGTTTAACATTTTATGCATAAGTATATGTATATATGTATGTATAGCCATAGAATCCAGCATAATATACCATTCATTAAAAATTAAATCCTACAAGCAAATTTTTGTAATAAGATTTTAAATTAAAATCTAAACATTTTTAAATTGAAAATGCTTTTCAAAAATTGTAAAAATACGTTTAAATTTATCAGAAAACATTACCTTTTAAAAAAAAAGTGCATTCATATGTAGAACTTTTGCTTCAAGCTCGTTTTCAAGTATTAATTATACACTTGCACACAAATAATACATTTTTTCTACAATTGCTAGTACTATTGATTCTATTAATATTTAAATTTAAAAAAAATATATATTTTAAAAGTTCTAAAATTATAATATTTTCTAATTTGAAAATCCCGTTTTAAGTTTAAATCGTTAATGGATTCCTAAAATTTATTCATAATCATTATATCTATTGTGAATTCCAAAATGAACGAAAAGTTTAATTCAGTTATTCACAATATTCTCGTAAAATAAAAAAAATAAAGTTTCCAAGAAATATTGAAATATCTTTGTTTTTAAAAATATAAAAATTTTTTGATGAAGCGTGTAGTTATTTGAAACAAATATATGTATATAGCATATAATTAAATTCAAATCAATTTTTATCAGCTCAATTTCAAATTACAAAATTAAATACTTATGTATATATAAAATGTTGCACGTTAGAAAGAATTCAGAAACTTGTTTGGGATAGTGCAATATAACACGTGTTGGTATTATAATGTACGTTTATTATTTTCAATTTAAATTATGATTTATTCAATTTTCAATTTATATACGAAAGAGCACTTTCTTTACCGATTTTTAGTGACGGACATTTTTGACTCGGCGAATGACGCGAACATTTCGACGCAGCGAAAAATATATCTAATTTTATTTTTATGTTTACAAAGTCTTCACATAAAAATAAATTTAACCTTAACAAAAAGCAATTCTACAATCTATTAAAAAAGTATACATAAACATTTTTTTGAAATAATAGTTCGTATCAACATCAAAATTTAATTGCTGCGTGACAGAAATTTTGCGAACGTGGATATCGTGTTATAGAAAATGTTGCGGTGTTATTATCGGCCGTCACACAAAATCGTCGAGCAAGGTAATTCAATCTAATTGTATACGTTAATTTAGTATTATAAATAAATATATAAGGCTAATATATAATTTTGTATTAAAAATTTAAATTTGAATTACTTTAACTCAACTTAATTTAAATTTAATTTAACATAATGTTTCATTTAATACAAAAATGTGTAAAATATAATATGAAAAAATTTTAGTTTATTTTTTTTTTTTGATGAAAATTCTTTCAAGAATAAATATCAAAATTTCTTCCACTTCTTTCAGCCGATTTGTATCTGTTTATATGTTTTTTTGTATAAACAAATCATACAACTATACGAATTACACATAACAAATTAATATTCTGTGAACATTTAAAAATGTATTGAAATTCATTTACTTCACATCGTAGTACATAGTATTTATAACATTAATTTTATAGGTATACAGTATTATACCTTGATTTAGATATGTGAATATTTTTATGTTAAAAAACCTTAACAAAAACTTTCGTTAAGTTTTCTGACAATTCTCTTTGATTTGGAAATGCGTCGATGTTAAATTGTCAAAATATAATGTCAAAAGGAAAATTAAAACTCTGATGACATTAGCGGCATAGTTTGGTTAAATTAAATTGATTGAATTTTATAATTTTAGTTTATGTTTACAAATATTTGCGAAATATTTATTTTAAAGTAATTAAAGTATAAAAGTGAATTATATTTAAATTAATATAGTGAGTTATTTTTTTTTTTAAAATTCGTTGCACAAAAATTAGAAAGTTAAGAAGAAAATAAAAAAAATTCGTAGCCAAGCCAAGCAATTTTTGTATATTTTTGAAGTATAAACAAAATGAAGAATTTCTTAACGGAAGAAGAGCGTTCTAAAATACTCGATTTAAGAAAATCTAATTTATCTATATATAAAATATCAAGAGAAATACATCGAAATAGAAAAACTGTATCAGCTTTTATAAATAATCCAGAGGAATATGTTAAAGAAATGGAAGCATATTTGGCTATGCCAATGGAAGAACGTAAACAGTCAATTAAACCGCGAAACTTAAACTCAAAAGCAATTAATCCAGCTTCCTTACGGAAATTCCTCAGTGAAGCTGAACGTGAGAAAATTGATACTTATAGAAGTGAAGGTAAATCGATAACAAGCATAGCACAGTTATTAGGTCGTGGAACTGTATCAATAAGAGCGTATACTAATAATCCAGAAGGCTATGAAGAATTTATCAATAATTCATTAACAGAAACAGTAAAGAAAAAAATACCAAATTTCTTAGCGAAAAATAGTCGTTTAAAAATATTAAAACTAAAAGAAAGTGGTCTATCATCTAGTAAAATAGCTAAAAGGTTACGTACATCACATGAAAGTGTTTTGGCATTTTTGAAAAATCAAGATGATGGCAAATATGAAAAATATATAACATCAATAAAAAATACACCGCAAAAAGACGAAACGAATTATGATTTTGAAAGCAAAATGAATGGTGCAAGTAGAACTACAGTTAAAAGATATTTGACTGAAGAAGAACGTTCCAAAATACAAGAAATGCGTGAACAGAATACTTCACTTAAAGTAATATCAAGATTAATGCATCGTAGCCTTGACACTATAAATGCATTTTTAAAAAATCCTCAACAATATGAAAAAGAAGTTCAAGCGTATAAGGAATTCAGATTATCCCGATCTGGCAAATCCAATAAATCATATAAAAAATTAAATGATGTGAGTAAAATATCTTTCATTTTTTTAAATAATAAATTTTCTTAGATATCTAAGAAAGTACCTAACTACCTAACTAATTATAAATTTATTGACCACCCACCCATCTTCCGTAAGTCGCAGCACTTGACGTGATGAGCTTTTATTCAAAAATCTTGTAATTTTCTGAATAAAATTAAGTCTGAAATTTGAAATTTTATACTGAAAAACGAAATTCTTTTCAATAATATCCCATCATCCCAAGTGATGCGGCTAACACAATTTGGTGGATTGTTGAATATGTATAAAAGTGTGTACATTTATGCCCATATTTCTCAGTATAATTTTATATTGTCTTTTTTTTTCTTTGTTTATTACAATAACTAGTCATTATCAGAAGAAGATCTTAAAAATTATAATAAAGTAAGTGTGGAACATCGATCAGTAATTAAATTCTTAGTTAAAAAAGGTTCAACAACAAAATCTATATATGAAGATTTGAAAAAAGTTTATGGAAAATCAGCTCCGGATATGATTTCAATAACATATTGGGCACAACAATTTCTTCAAGGACGTCAAACAGTTGTAAATGAAGCAAAGTCAAAACAATCAGATGTATTAGAACGACCAAATGGTATTTTAAGTAGTACCATTATTGCTAATGGTAATAGCAGCGGTAGCCCAAGCAGTGGAAATTCAAGTAAAAAACCACCAGTTAAACTAAAATTGTTTCAATTTAAACTGAAACCTTCAAAAAAAGTTACGGAATCCTAGAATTAAGAAAAAACAACAAACAACAAAATAAAACGGATTTTAATTAAATTTATTTTAAATTTTAATTTTAATTGTTTATTTCTTTTTTTTGTGCACAAATTTGTTGTGTGCATATCTAATACAGTTGTAAACTTTCATACTAACAAATAATAAATTTATTAAAGATTAATAATTGTAAAATTTTAACAAATTTTTAAAATTTCGTATTTAAAGAAAAATTGACTAGATTAAAGTAAAAATTGTAGGTAAGTTTTTTTTTTGTCAATTTAAGAACCTAGCTAAGTGTTTGACATTTTTTTTTTTTTTTTTTTGTAAAAAAATATAAAATCTATATATTTTTTGAATAAAATTTTAACTGAATAAAGTTAAGTAAATTTGAAAGATTATATTAAGAAAATGAAAATTAGTTTTACTTTAATCTTTGTTTATCTATTTGTGAAATTCATTAGGTCAAACAAGTTTTGTAATTCTTAAAGAAAAATTTTTGGTTGATTTTGTTAATAGTAAAAAAAATAATTAAGGAGGGTAAAAAAATATAGTAACACCGCTGTAAAAATGTACAACAGAGTTTTTTAATACTTGAAATATCAAATTCTATCTAAAAGTAATTCTATTTTAATTTACCCAATTAAAATATGCAAGAAATTTAGAAAAGTTAATATCGCATTAAAATACCAAATCAAGAGAAATAAAGCACAATAAAATCCAAAAATTATATGGACTATAAATGAACATTTATGGATGTATCTGTACATGCATAATGAAATTTGAAAAACACAAAATCATACAAAACAAATTCATAAAAAATCTACTACGAGACGATTTTATGATAAGAGAAAAACCGGTTTCTATCATATATTAATGTATATTTCTTGTTTTTTTGTCCTTGTTAGAATGTATTTGTGAATAAAATAATGAAAACTAATAAAAAATTACAAAAAAAGGATTTTTTTTGACTTAGTTTAAAAACTATTTTTTTAGTTTAAGAATTGAAAGAGAAATTGAAAATTTTTCTAGAAAAAAACATGTTTACATTGAAAAAAAAACGTTTTCGATTTTAGGATGCAGCATATTGTACATAAATATGATAGAAGTGCTATTTCGTTTTGAATAGACAATATTGTTATTTACTGTTTAGTGCTTGGACTTAAGATCCAAGAGCATAATATATTAAAGATATTAAAATAAATTGTATGCTTAAAATAAATTGAAAAGTATTCGTTTTTCAAAACTTATCCTGGCAAGGTGCTAAAATTTAATGCTATTAGGTCATTGCAGTACGAAAAATATCAAATATTGAATACTTGGATGTAAAAACAAACCCTTATTCCGACTTATTTTTCTTAATTTTTAATAATAGACTATGCACTTGTTGCATCACCATTTATGTACATCGTTGCATTTATGCACTTGTTAATCACCATTTATGTACATCAAATCACGTTTTTCAGGAATAAGGGAATTCAAATATGTATGTATTTAAAAGAACAAACATTTTGTTTTCAAAGTCTACCCTATAATGCAAATGTTTAACTTAATTTAGTACTATAGTCACACTTAGCTACAAATTCGTGTATAGTCCAGAGTTTATTTTCATTTTTAGTTTCTAAAAAGAACAATACTGAAAAAAACAAAACTCTTTTAAGATAACATGTGCCATATTTTATGTGTGTAGGTGAAACAAGTTGGATAAAAAGGAATATGAACATAAAAAGGTACAGTAAAAAAATGCTTAACACAATATAAATTTAAAATTATAAATGTGTATGGTTGTTTAATTATATTTGAAAAATCCAAATGTATGTAAAATAAATGCCTTTTTGATTGTATTCCGAGGATGTTATGTTTTTGAATTTAGTAAATTCTTGGCTGCCATTCCAGTTTATAAAAAAAATATAGTTTTTACAACCTATTACAACGGTGCACTTATGTACATATGTATCTACATAAATATCGTTTTGTTATTTTAGAAATACTCGGATGCTCGGTCATGGCTATTATTAAAAATAACAAAATTTAGAGTATTTCTTGCATTTGGCTTGGCCGTTTTTCTTTAATAAAAAAAATAAAAAATCATATAATTTTCCCTTTGTATTTGTATTATTATTTTTTTTAGATTTTGAATTGTTTTATTTTGTAGGTTTATGGGTCGCGCGTAATCTTTTATCCTAGTAAACTTGAATTTTAGGTTGTTTTTGTTATTCGTTTTATCTCTGTTACTCCAGTTTTTATTTGTTTTCTGCTTTTAATTTTTTTCTAAATTTTAAAATTTTATTTTCCTTATTTTCGAGATAATTTTTATTGAATAAGAGTTTTTGTCTTGAGAGCAACATATGGAAAACAATATGTTTTCATTTTATTTCGAACAGTTTCATGTTCTCTGAAAATGAACTATAATTTTATAACGAATTAGATTTGGTCAATTTAAATTTAAAATATTTTGAAAAAATTTTTCAAATTAATTGGATTCAAGCCTGAATAACGCAAAGAATTTTCGTATAGTACTATAGTAGTAAGAGTATAATTATGAAACCTTTACTTAATTTTATTCTTAATCGAAGTTGGTACCTAATTATTTGCTAAGTAGTACTTCTATTCCACTTTCTTAAGGACTTAAAGCAATTTAATTATTGTAAGACTAACTGATTAGGCGTAGCATCAAGTATCATGCAAACTTACATTTCACGAAAAAACAAAACATTTTTTCAGAAAACATCATTTCAGAAGCACAAAATGTGGCTATCATAGCATAATTTAATGAGGAAGGAAATTTAATGGAATATTCTTGACGAAACTAATAATCAAACCAAATTCTTGAAATCTTGAAATACATATGTATGTCTTTAAGAAAATAGTATGCATAAAAAGTTAATAAGGAATGTCATTTATATCAAATATTTTAATTTAAGTAATTCAAATATAGTGTGCCTTTTCTAAACCGGGAGACAGTATTGATGGCTGAGATCATCTAGACATTCTAGATCATCAATATCTAGACATTTCTAATAAATTTGAGTTAGATTTTTTACAATACATAAATTAAATTTTAAATAATATAAATTAACTTACATGCAATGCTCACGTAGCTTCATAATAATAAACCAACTTCTTAATTTATTCATTGAAAATGTTAATAAATAAAGGATCTACATATTAAGTCATATTTTGAACAAAATCCGACATAATATGTATCTTCTGTCAATAATAAAAATATTAGCAATTTTTACAAAAATATTTGATATATTAATTTTTACAGAATTAATAGAGTTCTAAGTTTAGGCTTCTAAACTTGTAAAATATGAAATTATCAAAATTAAAACTTAAAGATTTTTTCCGAAAATATAAAAATTTCAAAATATAATCGTTTTATTTATAATGTTATAACAACTTTGATAATTAAGATCGAATTTTAATCAAAAATAATTCACAATATTCACATTTCATGTATTTACAATATAAATTTAAAAATTCATTAATAAATTAAATTTTGTAATAAAGAAAAATGTAAGAATCAATATTTTATTTTTATATTTATTAAAAAAATAATAAAGAATTTCGGCATTTTGAAATATTTTATTTATTTTTATAAATTTTTGCATAAAATTTAGGTGCAAAATAAAAAACAATAAAAAACAAACACAAAAAAAAAAGAAATTAATTTGACCTTTGAAGTGTCTGTCGGGTCTGGTTTTAGTTTTGTATATATTGAAAATGGTAGATACCCAAATAAAAAACAAAAAAAAAAAATAATAATAATAAATATGAAATAAAACATTTTAGATTTTCCCTAAATAAAATCAAAGAAATAAGGAAAAACATAAAAAATTTATAAACTCAGATAGACACTTTTGATTGTTTTCTTTTTTGTTTTTCCTGTTGTTTAACCCTAAAGAGTCAAAATTACTTTTTTTTTGTTTTCAATTTGTTACTTTTATTTTATTTTAATTTTTGTTTTTTTTTGTTTGGGTTCAATAACCTTCTAGGTCTAGACCCACTTCAAAGTCTATATTCATTTAATTTTTATACTTACGGTCGTTTTCCTCTCTTTTTTTCTGTAAAGTCGTAAGCATAATAATATAAAAGGCATCATCGGTTTTTGGAAAAAACTGTAAAACACATCAAAATAAAAAAAATATATTTAACAAAAAAAACCTAAAAAACCTAAAAATCCAAAGAGTTTATTACCAAAAATTGCATATTAAGCCTTCGTACCCAAAAAAAAAAAAAACAAAAAAAACAATAATATATATATATATATATATATATATATATATATATATATACATATATAAGGTTATTGTCCTTTTATTAATTCGATTAAAATTTTATATAGACCAGAAATAAATCCTTTTTTTTAGGTTTTGACCTTTTTCAAAAAAAGAACAACAACAAAAAAAATCATACTTTCACCTACTTTTTCTCATATCGAGAGTAAATTTCCTTAAGTATAAAGTACACACGTTGCATATATATAGACAAAAATTAAATGTTTGAAAGATTATAGGTTTAATATATATGTATATATATATATATATACATACCTACATAAACATATATGGTAAAAGAAAAAAAAATCAGTCAGGACCTAACCTTGAAAATACTGAAAAAAACAAAAAGGAGCTTTTTGCATCCGCATATTAAAAATAATAAAACAAGAAAAACAATAATGTTTTTTATATAAAAACCGAAAAAAGATATTCTATCTCTTTCTATGCATTTATTATTACTATCTCTTTCAATTTTTACCCCAATTTTTTTTTAAATAAGTTTAATCAACCTTAATTTTTAATATCTTGTCCTTTCAAACCACAACTTGTTTTTTGATATAACGGTATAATAAAGTTTTTCTCTTTTTTTTTTTATTGTCATTCTGTTACACTTTATTCTTTTTGTACACGCTGAGCGGATAGCAAATGTTATATTATGAGTATTATGACAGTGTATTTTAATTCTATTAATTTTTCTGATTACGTATATTATTGTGAATTTTGAGTAATTGTGATTTTGAAATGTTTTAAATGTGGCGCTATTGAACAAAATGTCATTAATTGACAAGTGCATGTATAGGTACTCATTTTGTTACTTGTTTTTAAAATTAAAGTGCAATGGTAAGAGTAACCACTTTTAACAGAATATTTGAATTCCTTTAATTAAATTATATTTTTTTTTAAATATAGAAATTAGCCTAAACCGACATGATCACCATTAACGAAATTATAGCTTTAGGTCTATAAGAAAATCTAATTCAATTGTTGATATTGCATTTGATTAGGAAAAGAATCGGCCTAAAATAAGCG